ACAGTACTCAATAAACAAGAATAATTTCTTGATAACACACAACTAAATTAATCTCAGAAACATTAAGGGAAAAGAAGTCACCCACCAAAGAGCACACACTGAATGATTCTACTTTACATGATGTTTTGGAAAGACAAAACTAAATGGATTTAAAAAGAAAAAAAGTTCAATAGAAAAGAAACCCCGAAAAAATACTGTTTTTTTTTAAATCAATTAGTTATCGATGGACATTTATTTATTTATTTATTTATTTATTTATTTATTTATGTGTGCTGATAATTGAACCCACTGCCTCACACATGCCAGGCAACTGCTTACCACTGAGCCACAACCCCAGCCCCAAGTACTGTTTTCTTGACGTGTCTTTTTTTCTCAGCACACGTTTGCAGATTCGTGTAAATGACCTGCTTATGGCCCTCAAAGCAGGAAATCCTGGGAGAGAGAGAAGCATTATTTTTTCAGGCCTGCAGTCAACGGTGAGACCGGTGATTTGCAAGGGAGATACTGCCCTCAAGGGGTTATTATTGGATATTGCTAGGGACATTTTTGATTGTCAATTTCCTATTGCAATTTAGGGGGCTGGGGGTGTCAATTCCCTATTGCAATTTAGGGGGTTGGGGGCTAGGCATATTATCTGGCATGCAGTGCCATGGACTGTCCAAGAAGAAGTACCGACTTGTTTCCTCAAACTTGTAGGTGAGAAGCCCATTTATAATTTTATGAGCCCAGAATGAAGGCTGTTTTGCAAACATTTTTTTTTTTCCACCTGAATTTTCCTGGAATGAAACTGTTGTGTAAATCACTGTCTGACAATACAGTTTTGGTTAGAACATCACCGAACCTCTTCAGACTTTTTGAAAGTCGGACCAGGAAGCAACACTGTGGGCAGTATCTGGGTCACTCCCTACCCCCGGCTGAAGCTGGCTTTGAACTCACAATCTTCCTGTCTCAGCCTCCCAAGCCGCTGGGATGACAGGTACCAGAAATGGTGTCAGCAACTGGGGCTGCTAAGATGGGATTCCTGAAGGGTATTGATATCATAACGTAATTATGACATCATGGGCCATGGAAGATAGGTCACTGGTCACCTATGCTATGTGGTGGCACCACATTTATTTGAATCACCACTTGCAGTGGCTTGGCTGGATGTAGTCAATGGAGGCCAGGTTCTGGAAGAGCCGGTGGCTGCTGCTGTATTTTACTTTGGGAAGGGGACTGTGGGGACTGTGGGGTGACCGGGGATTTCTGACAGCGCTCAAGAGCTGACAGAAGGAAAGTGACAACACAGGGTTTTCAATTCCCAGTCAGAGTCAGGTTCAGAGCAGATAACAGAGGTCGATGTGGTCCTCAGAGAACCTCTAATTTCTTGTAGCTGCAGGAAAGAGGGGCTGAAAATCAGACCCTCAATTTCCATATCCACGCTGTGGAATTCTGTTGGTCCAATTCAATGGTTTATGTGAAAATTAGGGCTTAGATTGGGAAGAAATAGCATCTTGCAGCTTGGCAAGGGGTCATTTGGTGGACTTGAAACAGTTGACTTGTATGATAGATTACGTTTCACTTGCCCAGTTATTTCCAGAGAGGCTGGACCATTTCACATCCCAAGCAGAGGTGTGTGAGAGTTGCAGCTGTCAAAACTCATACCTCATCAACAATCATTTGGTCAGTCACTTTAATTTGTTTTTGTGGTGCTGCAGGGTGAACTGAGGGCCTTGTGCATGCTAAGCAAGTGCTCTACCACTGAGCTGCCTTCCTAGCCCTTCACTTTAATTTAGACACTCTAATTAATGTGTATAGTGGTATTTTATTGTGGTCTTATTTTGCATTCTTTAATAACTAATGCTTTTTGTGCATTTATTTGCCATAGTGTGTATCTTTTTTTTGTTGTTGTTGAACTATCTGTTCGAAATCTATTGCTCTTTTTGTTAATGGATTGTTTGTTTTCTTTTTATTGAGTTTCCAGAGCTCTACATATTCTGGATAAAAATCTTTAATAAGACATTCATGTAAAAATTTTTTTAGTTGTAGATGGATACAATACCTTTATTTTATTTATTTTTTAATGTGGTGCTGAGGATTGAACCCAGTGCCTTGTACATGTGAGGCAAGCGCTCAACCACTGAGCTACAGCCCCAGCCCAAGACATTCATTTTTAAATATTTTCTTTTCTAGGTCTTTATGACTGATTTAGTTTTCTCAATTTTTCTGGCCTTGCATTAATTAAGGCACTTAATGCTCATAACTTTTATTTATTAAAAAACTTTTTTGTTATATACTGATAAGATTAAAGAATGTTTCAAAAACATGAAATTCAGGAGGCTGAGACAGGAGGATCGTGAGTTCAAAGCCAGCCTCAGTAATGGCAAGGTGCTAAGCAACTCAGTGAAACCCTGTCTCTAAATAAAAATACAAAATAGGGCTGGGGATGTGGCTCAGTAGCCAAGTATCCCTGGGTTCAATTCCTGGTACAACCCCTCCCCAAATATATTAAATTATAAGATGGGTGCATTAGTGCATGCCTATAATCCCAGTGACTCAGGAGGCTGAAATAGGAGGATTGCAAATTCAAGGCCAGCTTCAGCAACTTGGTGAGTCCATAGCCACTTAGTGAGACCCTGTCTCAAAATAAAAATTAAAAAAAAAATTAAAAAGGGCTAGGAATGTGACTTAGTGGCAAAGGACCCCTGGGTTCAATGCCTTGTGTGTGTGTGTGTGTGAGGGGGGGGGAGAATTTGAAAGTATAAAAAGAATAAGACAACAAACACCTCAGTATCTACCAACAATTTAAAAAAAAAGTCACATTACCCCACTCTGTTCCTATAGAGGTAACTACTAATCTCGATTTGTGTTTATTATCATCTTAGCTTTTATTAATAGCTTTATCACTTGTGTTTATAGCCCTAACAAAAATTTGATTATATGTGCACAGTTTTGAACAAGCAAGTATGGGACAAATTTTGTTGGAATTTCATTGAATTTAGGAACAATAAATATAAAATTGATTCTTTATTGAGACTCAGTTCATGAACATAGTTATGTCTGTTAATTTAGGCTTTCTATAATCTTCCTTCCTTTCTTTATCTCTCCCTCTCTTCCTTTTCTTTCCTTTTTTTTTCTTTTTGAGACAGGGTCTCACTATGTTGCCTATGTCATTGACTGTGAACTTGAGATCCTCCTGCCTTGGCCTCCTGGGTAGCTGGGATTGCAGGGCGATGACACTGCACCTGGCTTCACTGGTCTTCTTGAGTCTGTGGATTGATGTCTTTCAATAATTTTGGAAAATTTACAGTATTATATTTTAAGAATATATATTCCTCTCTTCTCTTTTGGTACTCCACTTAAGCACACAGTAGGCTATTTGATATTGTTCCAGCCTCTTGTGCTTTGTTATGTTTATTTTGCATTCTTTCTTTTCTCTCTGGGGTTTGAGTTGTGTATCGTCTATTGATCTACTTTGAGTTCACTTATTCTTTCTTTCTTTCTTCTACTATGCACTCGGTCTGCTGTGAAGCACATCTAGTGTATTATTCTTGATTTTAGATCATATATTTTTTGGTTTAAAATGCTCAATTTATTCTTAGAGATTCCACTTGAGGGACTGCTATGTGATGATCTGCAATGGATCCTATCAAGTGTTCATGTCTTTGGACCCTGGGTCATGTGACTTGCTTTGGCCAATGAGACTCCAGCAAATAATACAAACAGAAGATTGACAGATGCTGTGTATTGGGCCTTCCCCTCTTGGAACTAGCCTCTGCATAAGAAGGCAAAGTAACTTCCTTGAGATGGAGAGGCCTGGTGGAGAGAGATGTAGTCACATGAGTGACTCCATGTGAGAAAATCAGAAGAAACATTCATTCAACCCACAGAATTGTGAGAAATAATAAAAAGTTATATTTTAATCTACTAAGTTTTAGAATGGTTTTGTGATATGGCAGTAGAAAACAGAGACTTTCTTATATATTAGTTTTAATTTTCCATCCTATCATCTTTCTTATTTATTTTGATGCAGGGGTGATTGAACTCAGGGGCACTTGACCCCTGAGCCACATCCCCAACCCTATTTTGCATTTCATTTAGAGACAGGGTCTCACTGAGTTGCTTAGTGCCTCACTTTTGCTGAGGCTGGATTTGAACTCACAATCTTCCTGCCTCAGTGTCCCAAGCCGCTGGGATTACAGGCATGTGCCACTGTGCCCGTCCCTATCATCTTTTTTAAAATAAATCTTTTCTTCTGATTTCTTTAGTATATTTATGATAGCTATTTAAAGTTGTTAATGTACTGTTTTTGAGTCTGCTTCTATTTGATTATTTTTATTTTTGATTGTGGGTCATATTTTTTCTGCTTCTGTGAATGTCTTATAATTTTAAATTGTACAGATGCCAGAAATTGTATTTAAAAGAACTAGAATAGATATTATTTATCTATTCTAGTTAGGGACTAGAATAAATATTATTTTTCCCTCAGGGAGAACATTCTGCTTCTGAATCTGGTTGTTGATATGCTTCTGCAAACCAAGAACATAAAGTGTACTTATTTTTTGTTCAAGGAAAGTTTTGAGATTTCAAACTAATGATTCACTGTACAAGGATGAGGGTACCAGGATGAATAATGCAACCAAGGACAGTTTGAGAACAGAATTATCACTGAGTTAATTTCTGAAAAGAAACATCCTTTTATCTTAAGCTTTTTACCTTAAAAAATTCTAGAAGAGCACACAAATACATCTTTTGTTAGCTGCCAGAACAATTATGCCACCCTATCTTGTAGATTCCAGAAAATTCCACCGAGCTTTGGTGAGAGAGTGAGTGTCGTGTTATGAAAGTAGTTTTGACTTCCTGAACCACCTGTGCGGGGCTCTCCTGCGGGTCCTGGGGTACACCAACAGGCGAACACGGGGGTCAGCCACAGATGTTTATTGACAAAGAGCTCAAGAATCCCCCGGCTCAAATCTAGGGTGACTTCATGGGCCTTTTCCTGGCTCCAGGCTGCAGGGCACTCACAGCAGCCATGGCTTGTTCTTGGGCTGGTACTTGGGCTTCACACAGCACATTTTGCCGTTTGTGCAGTAAACATAGACCTTCTCCTTCCTGGAGCATCTCTGGCGGCATTTGCCATGAAGGTTCCAGCACCTCAAGGCGTCACCTGAAACGAAGGAGAGACAGGAGAAGTTTGGGGTTTTAGGGTGAGGAGAGGGAACCCCTCATGGGGTCACCAGGGTGGAGTGATAGGAAGGAATAGAAACTGAAGTTCAAGGAGGTTAACTCCGCTGGAATCTGTGGGTCGTGGGATTAGAGAGAGGGAAAGAGAGAGAGAGAGGGAGGGGTGAGCAAGAGCGCGGGGAGCCCCCAGTCTTCGGAGTAGTTATCAGGTTTAAAGAAACTACCAAAGGCCAGTGAAAGAATCTCGAAAGGAAGTAGGAGAACGATCCCCATGATTGTGAGGGTGTTGTGGGAATTGTGGGAATGTTCTGTATGCCCACCTCCCTGAGGGGAAAGGCCAGAGGGTCATTGCCAAATTAGCCCTAGACCAAAGGAGGTCCCTGAAGAAGCTTAACAGTCAGTTCTAAGATTGTCCATCTGATTACTAGTGACCTAAGTGCCCGGCAGAACATGATCCAGCACTCTTGAAAGGAATATAACTGAATACAGCAACCAAGGGTGTAAATTTGACAGGGTATAGAGCCGCCAGCTAATTTTCCAGGCAAAACAACAACAACAACAACAAAATCAGGAAAATATGACCCATAACCAGGAGAAAATCAATCCACTGATCCAGAAATAACAAAGATGATGGAACTAGCAGATGGACATTTTTATAAAAAAAAATTTATTTATTTATTTAGTTTTCGGCGGACACAACATCTTTGTTTGCATGTGGTGCTGAGGATCGAACCTGGGCCGCACGCATGCCAGGCGAGCGCCCTACCGCTTGAGCCACATCCCCAGCCTCAGATGGACATTTTAAATATGCTCCACAGGCTAAAAAAGGTACAGGGAGAACAAGGGCATGATGAGAAGAAATAAAGGTGTAAAAATATTCATATGGAAATTCTTGAAATGAAACATTAGTGAACGAAGAGCTCATTTTGTGAGATTAAGGGCAGATTAGACTGAAGAAGGAAAGATGGATGAAGGTGAAGACATAGCAACAGAAACTACCAACATGAACCACAGAGGGGGAGCCAGGGCGGGAGAGGGAGGGAGAGAGAGCGCAGACATAATGAGCAGATTAGCATTCCTCCAGCCAGAGCCCCAGAGGAGAAGAGAAGGAGAGACCCAAAACATCACTTGAAGGAATAATGGCAAAGAAGTTTCAAGGTTGACAACAATAGTCAATGCACAGAAGCAAGAGCCTCAGTGAACTCCAAGCAGAACAAAACCTGAAGAGAAGCAGGCAGAGGCATGTCATAGCAAATCCTAAAAATCATGCTAAAGAAAAAAATCTGAGAGAGCCACAGGACACATGAAATACACAGGGAAAATGATGACAATAATAGAAGAAGTCCATCAAAAACTGCACACTATCAGAAGACAATAGAGAGAGGCTTTTAAAGTAACAAAAGGAAACAAATTCAATCCAGGCCAGGTGTGGGGGGGGCACACCTATAAACCTAGTGACTTTGGAGGCTGAGGTGGGAGGATCACAAGTTCAAGGCCAACATTGGCAATTTAGCAAGACGCTAAGCAGCTTAAGAAGACTGTCTCAAAATAAAAGCAAAAAGGGTTGGGGTGTATCTGAGTGGAGCGTGCCCCTGGGTTTTCAATCCTTAGTACAAAAAAAAAAAAAAAAAAAAATCAATCCAGCTCCTTCCTTCCTTCCTCCTTCACTTTCTCCCTCCCTTCTTTCCTTTCTTCCTTCTTTTTTCCCAATCTTTCAGGTGATTGAGCCCATAGGGTCTTTACCACTGAGTCACATTCCCAGCCCTTTTTATTTTGGGACAGGTTCTCATTAAGTTGCTTAGAGCCTCACTAAATTGTTGAGGCTGGCCTCTAACTTGTGATCCTCCTTCCTTATCCTCCTGAGTCTCTGGGATTATAGGTGTCTGACACCATGCATGACTCAACCCAGAATTCTTTACACTGCATAAGTCCTCTAAAAATGGGGAGCTACAACTTTAGCTGAGAAATTTTATCACTGAAAGATGTCACTACAAGAAGTGTTAAAAGAAGTTATTCAGGCAGGAGAAGAATTATATCAGATGGAAGATTAGATGTCTACATAAAGGAGTAAAGAGAGCCAGAATTGATTAATATGTGGCCAAAAGTGAACAACATTTGTTCTCATTTAAAATATAATTGCTTAGGGCTGGAGATACAGTGGAAGACCATTTGCGTCATATGTGCGAGGCCCTGGGTTCAATCCCATCACTGGGAAGAAAAAGATGATCATTTAAAGCAAAATGAGAGCAATGCACTGTGGGGGTCATAGCAGGTATAGAAGTGAAATGTAAAGCAAAAGCACAAAGGCCCAGGGGGCGGACATGGAAGTGGCTCTTTGAAGGCTCCACACCCCTGGAATTACTACTCCAAGGCAGACCAGGCAAGGATAAAATTGGCTATTACAAACCTTAGAGCTCGCTCAAGATCTGGTGCAGGAATTGTACAAGATGGGCCTAGAATATTTTGTTACACCCTGAAATCGCTTCCATTCATTAATAAAGGACAAAACGCTGAGAATTCCTCTTTTCTCAAGTCACCAGTATTGGAAACTTTGTACTGAAATCATTATCATTCTTCCCCGAGGAACCAGGTCTTTCCACACTGAAAAGCAGCCTGATTTCTGTCAGGTACAGAGTTGTCAGATAAGGAATTTGGGGATGCAAAATCCCCCCTATTTCTTGGTTTTGTGCTTTCCATGGAAATGGGGGGTCCTGAAGCCATTTCTCAGCCTGAGGCCTGCTGTGAATCCCTGTCCACGTTGTGCTGAGGTTCGGCTTTGCCTAGAAGTCAGACTCAGCCCTTCCCCTTAGTCTGATGACAAACCCAGTTCTGTCTTCGTTGGGTGAGACGGTTATAGGAGGAGCACCTGATCACATTTACTAAGTCACTCATTTGCTTTATGTGATTTTCAATATCTGGGATTCTGTGTTTTATTTTGCAAAGAAGACAAGGAAAAACCATCATTTTAACAGCAGCATCTTGGTTTTTAACTTGAGTGTTAGGATGAGCTATTGGTCTGGGAGAGAGGAAAGATACTCAGGCTTTTTGTTTTAGCCTCTTTGGAGGCTATTTAGCAAGAATCTACACATTTTGAAAATACGAATAATCTTTACCTTGCAACTTCCTTTCCAGATGCCTATCCCAGGAAAATAGCCACAGATATAGACCAAGAGGACTTTAGGGAGCAGGTACAACTATCCCTGAGTTAGACACCCACCCTCGGAGAACTTCTGGTCCAGTGAGGGGAAGAGGGGAAGAGAGCTCAAGTGTGGTTTAAGTTAAGGAGCAAGAACTGAGTGCTCCAGGGGTCAAGGGTCAGGCTGAGGGAGCTTCCTCCCAACTCCCATCTTGCCCACAGGAAGTGGAAGGGAAACACTTGCAATTGTTTCCAGGGCACTGGGCAGTCTCAATCCACTTCCTGTAACCGCAGCAGCAGGCTTGAGAGCCCTGGTGGAGCTCAATCCTCCTCTGCCAGCCCGGTGGGACAAGCTGGGCACAGAGGTCTTCTGCTTCTCTGCCGCTGCAGCCTGCGGACTGACCTGACCCCGGGAAGCGGAGTGAAGTCGTGGAGAAAGGCAGGGCAAGAGGATCTGTGGCTATAAACACCCAGGATGCTCTGGAGAGATCGCCAGGGCAGGGGCGCACTCCCTGCCGGCAGTCAGAGCATAGCTCAGGGACATTGCCAGTGCTTTAGAGAAATTCCTGTCTGCTGCGAGGACACAGCACGGCATGGGACCGCCTGAAGGGGGGTTTGAAATGGCTGAGAGATGCTACCAATGTTTCCCTCTGCTCTCCTGTAGCATAAAATGGATCCGGAAAGTCTGCAAATTCTCTTGTCTCTGGTGAAGACAGGGAAAGAGGTGACAGAGTTGAGATCCAGAGGAACCTGCCAAGGCCAGACTCCAATGAGGAAGGCAGGAAGAGAAGGTGTGAATAGCCTTAATCTGGAAACCACATGGAAGAATTGATTGAAATGAAGGGTCAAGTCAATGGGGACCAACCTCTGACAAGGCCAGGGGATTTCACCAGCCATGGGATCTGGTAGCAAGTACTAGAATACTCACTAACCATACCCAGTGAGAGCTATCCCAGAAGTCAGTGAGGATCAGGCCCAGGGCCTTAATTACCACCTTCTGCTCCTGCCCCAGGTCCTCTGCACCTGCTATTCCCTGAAGCCTATGTGTTCTTCCCCATCACTAACTCCTTGTGCTCCCTAAGGTCATAGAGAGTCATGCCTCTCCCTTAAACATGGCAAATCCACCTCCTGGTATTTGCTATCCCCTTTACTACCTATTCTACTCATTGAACTCATCACCTGTCATACTACAAATTTCACTTATTATTCTAAAAAATTCATTGGGCCAGTAGAATGTAAGGTCAAAGAGGACATAGATTTTGCTCATCTTGCTTTGTTCTGTTTTGGTCCCTCTAGAACCTATCACAGAGTCTGACACATGAAATCCATTCAACTGTATTTACTGAATGAACCAACTCATTAATTCATTGATGACCTATCCAGTCATTTCCTCCTAAACCCAGATGGAATTCTGGGAAGGGGAAGATGGGGCATAAGAAAGAAGACATGCCAAAAGACCAAATTCAAGAGACTGAAGCCAAGCATGGTGGCACAAATCTGTAAGCCCAGCCACTGGGAGCCTGAGGCAGGAGGATCACAAGTTCAAAAACAGCATGGGCAACTTAGCAGACCCTATCTCAAAGTGAAAAATAGCAAGGGCTGGGGGTGTTGCACAGTGGTAGAGCACTTGCTTAGCATGAGTGAGGCCCTGGGATCAATCCCTAGTAACAGGGAGGGGGGGGAGGGAGGGAGGGAGAGAGAGAGAGAGAGAGAATATGAATAATTTTTTTTTTTTTGGGTATTGAACTCAGGGGCACTCAACCACTGAGCCACATCCCCAGCCCTATTTTGTATTTTATTTAGAGACAGGGTCTCACTGAGTTGCTTAGCGCCTCGCCATTGCTGAGGCTGGCTTTGAACTCATGATCCTCCTGCCTCAGCCTCCTGAGCTGCTGGGATTAAAGGTGTGCACCACTGAAGAAAAGCAAACATCTAGCTGCTGAGTTTAAAAGGCACAGCCCCTGTGCAATCTCTCCTGCTCCTTCCTCCCACCGACTCCTCCATTATCAGAATAGAAGTTCCTGGGAACTTTCAGATAAGTCATAGAAAATAAAGAAACTGCTTGTTTTTCTTCCCCAGAGAAAAATTTCAGTGTGTTCATTGTTGTTCCTTGAACCTGATATCACTGTGCACCCACGATGCTGTCAGACCTTGGGAGAAGTGAGGAGACTGACCCTGTGAGCATCTGAGGGGCTTTGGGAGCCACAGAGTTAGAAAACAGCGGGGTGGGCTCTCACCTGGGTTCTGTGCTTTCTTCTTTACCCCAGTTGGGTGGTGTTTCGAGCCATAGACAGATGCAAGGACCTAGGTGAACTTGCTTAGGGATTTCTCACATTCGGACTCTGGAATGGTAAGTGTGGGCCTTGGGGAGGGCAGAAGCTTCTGCCAGATGAGCAGGAGGTGGCAGGTGGCTGGTGCTAGGCTGGGGTGGGCAGACCTGCCCAGGGCCCTTTTCTGGCTAAGTCTTCCCGCAGTCTCACCTGGCCCTGGAGGCTGAGACCCGGGCCGTGGACACATGTTCAGCTTCCCCCCATCCAACCTACAGTCGGGACAGTTCCCTGAAGGCACCGTGCTCTCTCCCACGTCTGGACCCTCGAGCAAGCTGACCTCTGCCTGGGCCACCCTTCCTGCTCTACCTCTTCTCCTTCCCTTTCTCTTTTCTTCTCAATTCTCAGGACCGGGTATCCCTCCAGGACTGTGCTGCCCTCTGCCTGGGCTGGCCCCTCCCAGGTGTACCTAGTCCCTGCTTCCCCCTGCCACCGCCTGGGTGGCAGGGCTGTTTAGCTGCCTCCCCAGGGCCATGCCGTTTATCTCCGTGGCCCTGGCTCCCAGCACAGAGTCGGGGCAGAGACAGCAAAGTGAATATAAGCTTTTCTCTCCCATTAAGGCAGCTGAGATCTCTCCTGGGGACATTTTTGCAAAGGTTCTGCTATTGCCCTGTCCTCCTCCTGGCTTCTCCTACCCACCTGTCCCCCTCTTCCTCATGTGCCAGGCCACCTGGAGCTGAGCAGGGGAAGGGAGGGTGGAGTGACTGGGGAGAAACTCTGGGTGTTGCAGTTGGTACCTGAGATCTGCAACCTGGTGCCGGCCAGTGACCTCCTCTGCACGACCCTGAATGCTGGCCCCTTGCTGGCCCAGGGAGTCAGTCCTCCCTGCCCTTGAGGCCGGACCTCAGTCTCTCCATCTTTCCCCTCCCCAGAAGGGGTCCAGGTTACCTGGAGTGAGCTGGGACAAGAGCAGCAGAGCCACCAAAGTCAGCGATAGGAGCTTCATGGTTGGAGCCGGCTCGAGGCAGAGCAGCTAGCAGGGCAGAGCCGTGGCAAAGCTAATGGGGGCTGGGGGACTGCCCTGTCTCTGGCCAACACTCCCTCTGATCGCCCGGAACTCAGATGCCCATGGGGACAGTCCCACGCCCCAAGTCCACAGTGTGGGTCACACATCCCTGCCGATAAGCCTCCCTGTATCTTTCTGACAGCAGGGTGCTCGGCCAAGGTCAAGGATGCGCACAGCGCCCAGCTCGAAAGCGCCGGCACCCAGTGACCACGAGGGGGCGCCACGAACCAGACTCCGGAGGGTCCGGGAAGACTTGGAGCGGAGGCGCCCCGAGCAGGGGACGGAGAGTAAACGCCCCAGCTACAGCCACGAGCCGGAATGAGGCTGCAGGCTGAGGAGTGTGTGGAACAGACGCAGCTGCGGCGAAGAGGAAGAGGACAATGGCAGTGAGAGAGGAGGCTCCGAGCACCGCCCCTGCCCACCGAGCCGGGCGCCCACTGCCAAGGCCGTCCTCTGGGTGCCAGGTCCTGCGCTTTCCTCAGAGACCCAAGAACCCGCGATTCCGGCTGCCTCCTCTGGATCCAGGGTGTGAAAACTCACGGGGTTTCCTCTGGTCCCCTAGCCCTTGGGTGGGAGGGGCTGCATCCTGTAGTTACTAATGTGTCGCCTGGGGGTCCTGTTTGTGTTCTTTCAAACTTTCAGCAAACAAGTTGTAACCGTTGCCTCTACTAAAATCTTGGGTTTCAACTATTTATGTGCCTTCTCTTTCCTGGCTGGACCCTGCTTGATACAGAGGTCGAGTGTGGCTGGGGACCATGGGGCGTGCCTGTAATCCTATGGCTGGGGAGGCTGAGGCAGGAGGCTAGCCTCCCCAACTTTGGGACACCCTGCCTCAAAATAAAAAATAAAAAGGGCTAGAGATATAGCTCAGTAGTTACGCCCCCTTCAATCCAAAGAAAACCAAACAACAACAACAACATCAAAAACAACAACAACAACAAAAAACAAAACCAAACAAAAAAATAAAACAAAGAAAACCAAAACCCCAAGCCAAACCAAAACTACGAGAGTGAAAACTTACATAGAGTTGACAAGATCAAGTTCGTTTCTGTTAAGGACCCTCGTTGTTCAAATGTGCATTAGTTAAGGCTCCACTGGATAAGCAGAACCACTATTAGTTTTATAGAATAAGGAATTTATTGTAAAAAAAAATAGTATCAATTCAGTCGTGGGAGGAGCTGTGAAAGCAAAGATTTGAAAAGGATCAGAGAACAGTCACCAACCAACCTCACACAGGCAAATGGGCCAAGGACACAAAACACATATGCATTTGAAGTGGGACCAATAAGGGAGCTGGTGTGCAAGTTTGTGACGATTTCCAGCCCTTTGAGGCTACTGTGTACTGTTAAGTTCATAGAAAAATGTTCAGGGGTGAACCTGGACCCTAGGGTCATTTTTTTCCCATGTATATATTTTTAAAGGTGGATACAATATCTTTTCTTTATCTCTTTATTTTTATGTGGTGCTGAGAATCGAACCCAGTGCCTCACACATGCGAGGTAATGCTCTACCACTGAGCCAGGACCCCAGCCCCCTCCCCATATTTTTTAAATCGATGCATTATAGTTGTACATAATGGTGGATTTGCTGCCCCATGTTTGTACGTGCACACAATGGAACAATATGATTTGACCAGTATCATCTCCTGGGGGATCCTTTTGATCAGGAGGGCTGGCAGCTGGGGAGGAGAGCTGTCATGGATCAGGGACTAGTGAGGATCAACCCCAGCCCGCAGATACCCCGCGTCTGTCCCTCAAAACCTCCACCCAGTGCCAACCTTAGAGCATGGCGACCACGGCTTCATTTCTCTGTCTCAGATCTCATGAATTGAAAAAAGAAAAGCTGGCCACAAACCCTCACTAACTCCATCCGGGGAAGGAAGTTGAAAAATGTAGAATTCCACAAAATAATACTGCAGTCGGGGCTGGGGGCAGGCAGGCACTCAACGTCTCTTAGGGAGAAGGAACCTGTTGGATTCTCTTCTCCCAGAGAGAAGACACCCTCACTGCTCAGTGCCCAGCTCATGGAGGGTTTCTGTATCCAGGGACAGAGAGGAGGAGCTGGGATGATCCAGTGACAAGTTCTGACTCTGCTACTCACTTTCTATGTGACCTTGGGAGAATCACTGTTTTCTGGGTCTCACTCTCTTCAATCAAGGATTCGGAGCACCTGGGTGGTGGGGATCCACGATCCACCAACTTACGTGGTTCTTTTGGTGATGAAAAGACACAGAGGGGAAAGGATGCAAGAGTCCAGGCTACCAAAATAAGGCAGGGTGTCTGGATTTTCACCTCTGGGTTCTCTGGGCTCCCCTCATCAGCCACGGAGTCTCTGAAACACCTAGATCACAACTCTCAGCCCTTGACTCCAGCTCCCAAATAAACTGTGTGGCTCCTGGGCACACGGTGGGGGCTGCTCCTTGCGTTTTCAATGCACTAACTTTGCCTTTGAAGCCTTTTTTATTCTCCTGAGCACCCGTAATAGGTGTCATCGCCAGGGGCTGTCTTAGTTACAGGGGACAAGGGGGCTTGGAGAGGAGGCAGAGTGGGACCCTTCCTGTGCGTGTCTCAACGTCACAGCTTATTCATGGAGAGTTAGAAGGCCAGTTTCTCAGCTTGATCAGGAATCAAAGAAGAATAAATTTGAAAGACAGTGAGGTATCTTTTGTCCAATCAAATGGGCTAGAATATGTAGGCTATGGGAGAAAGCAGTACCCTGATCTTGGAAATGTAAACGGGGGCATCGTTTTTGGAGGGTGGTTGCCAATACCTGAATCTCGAAAACAGAGCTGCTCTACAACCCAGCAGCCTTGCTTCTACAACCGGGTAGCAGCCTCCACATGATTGACAGTTGTTTCCTTTTTTCTAGTGGCAGTCCTTGGATTTTCCTTTAGGGTGCTGGACCTCCTTTGCTCTCAGCTCAAAAGATTCAGGTAGGGCTTCTCATCTTGCTTTTGGACTCTCCGTTTTTCATTGGACTTATCTTTTAAAAATCTGAATGAGCTGGGTGCAGTGGTGCATCCTCCCCAGTGGCTTGGGAGGCTGAGGCAGGAGGACTGCAAGTTAGAGGCCAGCCTCAGCAAATTAGTGAGGTCCTAAGCAACTTAGCAAGATCCTGTCTCAAAATACAAAATAAACATAGCTGGGGATGTGGTTCAGTGGTTAAGCACTTTTGGCTTTAGTCCTTGGTACCAAAAAAAATTAATATATCTGATTTATCTGATGGCTACCTTTTGCACTTAAGGTGAAATTCCAACTCTTCTCCCTGGCTTCCCTCATCTGGTTGGAACATCTCTCTGACCTTGACTCATACCAATTTCTCCTCACCCACCACTCCTCGGCCGTGCCAGCTTGCTTTATTTCAATGGAACACACTAAACTCCCTCCTACCTCAGGGCATTGTGTTTGAGATTCCCTTTACCTGAAGTATTCCTCCTGATTATTTCCACTCATTATAATCTCTTTCCCCTCACTTTGTTTTTCTATTATCAATTTCTAGAATTCTTTTTTAAAAATTTATTTTTAGTTGTAGACGGACACAATGTCTTTATTTATTTTTATGTGGTGCTGAAGATCGAACCCAGTGCCTCGCATGTGTGAGGAAAGCACTCTACTGCTGAGCGATAGCCCTGCCCCCAGTTTCTACAATTCTTATTCTTCAGGTGTTGGGCCCCATGTATTGAAAATCTCTAATTTTTTTTTCAACTTTTTTCCTCCTGATTTTCATTCCATTGGCCTCTTTTTCCCTTTAGTTTATGAGGAATTTTTAACAAATTTATCTTCTAAGCTATCTATTGCTCCTCCTTTTCCATGTTCTGCTTTCATCTTTTTAATTTACTTATTTCCTGACTTTTCCTTTTTTTATGGCACCCTATTCTTGTTTCACAGTTGCATCTGTGATTTCTCTGAAGCCTTTAATGATATTTCCCTTTCTGCATAATCTAATTCCTGTACTGTTTGGTTGGTTCGTGTGTTTTATGTTAGATGTTTGCCTCTAATCAACAATCGTAGGGCTAATGATTCTGAACTGCTTACTCATATTTGTGTGCCACTGAAAAGTTCAGAAACTCCATGAATACTTTTGTTCTGTGGGGTTTTGTTCTCTTAACTTTCATAAGAGATAACTGACGATAACATTTATTTGTTAATATTTAAGCATGAGGGACTAAAATGCTGATTAAGTACATTGGTGGGACTGACAATGAGCCTGATTGGTCAGTGGCATTTAGTGAGAAACCCGATGTCTATATGTTCAGATTTTGGCTCCTTCTCTACTAATCTCCCTCTAGGAATTCTGGGAGGTACCTGGGGAACGAAGGCTGGAGATTAAGGAGTTTCCCAGCAGCCAGGGCCAGGCTTCTGCATGACCTTCTGGTTTCTACTTACCAAGTCTGTCCTCAGGGATGCTTGGGACCCTTCAAGTCAGAGACCCTCGTTTCCCCACCTCCTTATTTTAACTCCCACGCATCTCTCTTTGTGCCTAGGTGTTTATGGTACCTCCAGACTCTAAGCTTGTTTATTCTGTGGTTTGAAGTGAGTGGATCCCTGTCTTCCCCGTTGCCAGCTGTCGTCCCGGTTCCTTGGATCTGCTAATTCATTTCCCACTCGTCGGTCTGCTCTCTGGCTTCCAAATTATTGTGTTCTCTATTTCATTTTCTCTGATTTATTGGTTTATGAGGTCCTTTTAAATCCCTGTAGTTGCTATAGTTTAAGTGGGATTTGGGGTTTGAATAACTAAAGGGATTATGTTCAATCCACCATGTTTACCCAAATATCCAATAAGGTGATATCTGATATCTGTATGTGACATATACATATTATTATTTATTTATTTAGTGCTATACTGGGGGTTTAATCCAGGGCCCAGCATGTGCTAGGCAAGCATTCTACCACTGAGCCACCTCCCTAGTCCATATTTTCATTTTATTCCTGATGCCTTAA